GAGGAATGGGAAGGAAAAACAAACTAAAGTACTCTGTATATAAACAGCGGTGGTCAAGACCTAAAGAGCCAGCTGGGAGCCTCAGTTAGGGTTATGGTGTGACAAACCTGTGTCTGTCCTCCCCCACAGCCTCTCCTGAATGCCTTATATGGCTCTCAGGGAGAGTATTTCTAAACACTTCTGGTCTAGTAATTAATGGCTCTATCTCTGCAGATAAAGTGGAACAATCTCCTACCGTCTGACCCATGACAATGGCCATGTGACTTGTTCAGCTGTACAGCATATCTGTCCTATTAGGCCGCCATTGGACTCCTTCAACCGTACAGCATATCTGTCCTGTCAGGTGGCCATTTGACTTGTTCAGCTGTACAGCATATCTGTCTTGTCAGGCAGCCATTTGACTTGATCAGCCGTACACTGCGTACAGTATATCTGTCCTATCAGGCAGCCATTTGACTCATTCAGCCATACAGCATATCTGTCCTGTCAGGCGGCCATTTGACTTGATCAGCCGTACAGAATATCTGTCCTGTCAGGTGGCCATTTGACTCCTTCAGCCATACAACATATCTGTCCTGTCAGGAATCCATGTGACTTGATCAGCCGTACAGCATATCTGTCCTGTCAGTTAGTTGTATGGTTCATTAAATTAGACAGTCAGCAACACAATATACAACTTGGTCTAATGGACAGACAGATTGGATCATAGAAGAACAATATTAATGATAAACAAAGATAGATATTGACCTTGTCTACTATGTATTTTGTATAGGCTTTATGATGTCTCAGTTTATCTCACAGTCGTTTGCCCCCCTTCTCCTCCCTCTGCACGCCTGTTCACCCCTGTCCACCTCTGTCCAGCTGGCCCTTACAGGTGCTCCTCCCCTCTCAGAGATATTTGTCTTCACGGATGCTCCCGCCAAAGATATCTACCTGAAGAGCACAGTGCTGTCACTGATAGAAAGCACAAAGTCAGTGGTGAGTGTGGATGAACTTATTCCCAAGTAGCCAACAATCCATTGAGAGACTCAGTGACAAAGTTTCCCTGGCAGTCAAGGATACATCATATCCGTTGCATTATACATCATTTTCAATCCATCACATCAACACACTCAGATCTAGTGACTCCATGTGGTCTAAATCTCAGTCAGACTCACAGTCATAGAACCATAAACTAGGCTAAACAGCACAAGACAGCAGAAAAAAAGGTTGAAAATGACCCTTTACACATCTGTGATCTAAGCCTCTATCCTGTACAGTGGTTACTCTCAAAGGAAGTCTGGTCATTAATTAAACCCCAAATCATAACTGATTAGTCTTCAAATTATCAAACAGATACAAGATCTACTTAAGTATCCATACCTGTTCCTTCTTTTCCTTTAACACAAATGAAATGTCCCTTGTTAGCAAAAAGAGTTTTAATCCTGTCTCACTCTCCAGGTAAACTTCATGTTAACAGACGTCTTAAGTGGCCGACGTCGAAGAAGCAGTGACAGTAACAATCGAGTGCAACAGCAGCAATTTTCCAGTCACATTTTCCAGGAGCTGGCACAGGCATCGGGGGGGCTGGCTATACAGGCCAGCAAGGCCAACTTGCCCCAGGCCACCAGCATTATTCTGGACTCCACCACCTCTGCTCTGGTACACCTCCCTTCTAGTTTCACGTCTCCTCTCATAAACACAAGTCACATTATTTATTCAACCTCATTTCTGATCTTATTTAGAACAGATCAGTGATACTTTATTGATACCCTGGGGGAAATGCCCTTGTTTCCTACCCCATCTTACTCTGCATAAGACACACAGACAGGTGACAGCAGGCTTTAGGGTCACAGCACAGGTTCATTATGCAGCACCCATGGGGCTTGGGGTTAAGGGCTTTGCTCACAGGCCCAGAGACATGTGACTATTCTGCTAAGGCTGGGGCTTGACCTGCCGACTTTCCAACCAAAGCCGCAGAGGCTTAACCCACTGAGCCACACTATTGTTATTAATCTGTCTTCCCAGATTCATGTTTGCAGGATTTGGCTATTTACTCATATTTACTCGTTCTCTCTCATTTGAATCACATGGCTTCAGGTTTCAAGTTTGTCATTTGTATTTTGTCCAATAAGATTCTTACTTTTTGAATCACATGACTTGCTGTATTAGTACTCCATTGGCCGTCTGTCCTTTGTGAATCACATGACTTGCTGTATTAGTTCTCCATTGGTTAGCTATCCTTTGTGAATGACATGACTTGCTCTATTAGTTTCCAT